GATGTTTATTCATACAATTGTTTTGGACTAAAAACTTCTTCAAATTGGATTGTATGGACGCTTTACAGTGAAACCAAACCATTTTTGTTGGAATGTGGACTAACAGATGGCTAATTGGTGAGTTTCTTCCAGTTTGTGTTGGTTTGTTTTGGCTGTTGGTGGTCTGACAAAGAGACAGATTGTGCCCGCTGTGTTGATTGTATCTTAAAATGGTTTACGTCGTTCGAATCACGAGTTTCTCAGCTTTCCAAAGATATGTATTATGTTTACTTTTGTGTTTGTTTTGTTTTGTCTTTCACAAAGTTAAACCTATAAACTACCCTGTGGGCCGTATACGGCACGTCGGACCACGGAAAAAAAAATATCGGACTAATATCGGTATCGGCAAAAGCCAAAGGTGCGGCATCGGTATCGGTATCGGAAGTGAAAAAGTGGTATCGGGACATCCCTAGTATTTCTGCCCCTCAGTGTTTCTGCCGCTCAGTATTTCTGCCGCTCAGTGTTTCTGCCGCTCAGTGTTTCTGCCGCTCAGTGTTTCTGCCGCTCAGTGTTTCTGCCGCTCAGTGTTTCTGCCGCTCAGTGTTTCTGCAGCTCAGTGTTTCTGCCCCTCAGTGTTTCTGCCGCTCAGTCTTTCTGCCGCTCAGTGTTTCTGCCGCTCAGTGTTTCTGCCCCTCAGTGTTTCTGCCGCTCAGTGTTTCTGCCGCTCAGTGTTTCTGCAGCTCAGTGTTTCTGCCCCTCAGTGTTTCTGCCGCTCAGTCTTTCTGCCGCTCAGTGTTTCTGCCGCTCAGTGTTTCTGCCCCTCAGTGTTTCTGCCGCTCAGTCTTTCTGCCCCTCAGTGTTTCTGCCCCTCAGTGTTTCTGCCGCTCAGTGTTTCTGCCCCTCAGTGTTTCTGCCGCTCAGTGTTTCTGCCCCTCAGTGTTTCTGCCGCTCAGTGTTTCTGCCCCTCAGTGTTTTTTCCGCCGCTCAGTGTTTCTGCCCCTCAGTGTTTCTGCCGCTCAGTGTTTCTGCCGCTCAGTGTTTCTGCCGCTCAGTGTTTCTGCCGCTCAGTGTTTCTGCCGCTCGGTGTTTCTGCCCCTCAGTGTTTCTGCCGCTCAGTGTTTCTGCCGCTCAGTGTTTCTGCCGCTCAGTGTTTCTGCTGCTCAGTGTTTCTGCCGCTCAGTGTTTCTGCCCCTCAGTGTTTCTACCGCTCAGTGTTTCTGCCGCTCAGTGTTTCTGCCGCTCAGTATTTCTGCCGCTCGGTGTTTCTGCCCCTCAGTGTTTCTGCCGCTCAGTGTTTCTGCCGCTCAGTGTTTCTGCCCCTCAGTATTTCTGCCGCTCAGTGTTTCTGCCGCTCAGTGTTTCTGCCCCTCAGTGTTTCTGCCGCTCAGTGTTTCTGCCCCTCAGTGTTTCTGCCGCTCAGTGTTTCTGCCGCTCAGTGTTTCTGCCGCTCAGTGTTTCTGCCGCTCAGTGTTTCTGCCGCTCAGTGTTTCTGCCGCTCGGTGTTTCTGCCGCTCGGTGTTTCTGCCCCTCGGTGTTTCTGCCGCTCGGTGTTTCTGCCGCTCAGTGTTTCTGCCGCTCAGTGTTTCTGCCGCTCAGTGTTTCTGCCGCTCAGTGTTTCTGCCCCTCAGTGTTTCTGCCGCTCAGTGTTTCTGCCGCTCAGTGTTTATGCCGCTCATTGTTTCTGCCCCTCAGTGTTTCTGCCGCTCAGTGTTTCTGCCCCTCAGTGTTTCTGCCGCTCAGTGTTTCTGCCCCTCAGTGTTTCTGCCGCTCAGTGTTTCTGCCCCTCAGTGTTTATGCCGCTCATTGTTTCTGCCCCTCAGTGTTTCTGCCGCTCAGTGTTTCTGCCCCTCAGTGTTTCTGCCGCTCAGTGTTTCTGCCCCTCAGTGTTTATGCCGCTCATTGTTTCTGCCCCTCAGTGTTTCTGCCGCTCAGTGTTTCTGCCCCTCAGTGTTTATGCCGCTCATTGTTTCTGCCCCTCAGTGTTTCTGCCGCTCAGTGTTTCTGCCCCTCAGTGTTTCTGCCCCTCAGTGTTTCTGCCCCTCAGTGTTTCTGCCCCTCAGTGTTTCTGCCCCTCAGTGTTTCTGCCCCTCAGTGTTTCTGCCGCTCAGTGTTTCTGCCGCTCAGTGTTTCTGCCCCTCAGTGTTTCTGCCCCTCAGTGTTTCTGCCCCTCAGTGTTTCTGCCGCTCAGTGTCTCTGCCACTCAGTGTTTCTGCCGCTCAGTGTTTCTGCCGCACAGTGTTTCTGCCCCTCAGTGTTTCTGCCCCTTAGTGTTTCTGCCCCTCAGTGTTTCTGCCGCTCAGTGTTTCTGCCGCTCAGTGTTTCTGCCCCTCAGTGTTTCTGCCCCTCAGTGTTTCTGCCGCTCAGTGTTTCTTCCCCTCAGTGTTTCTGCCACTCAGTGTTTCTTCCCCTCAGTGTTTCTGCCCCTCAGTTTTTCTGCTGCTCAGTGTGCATGCTCAACACGCATACACACGATTGCATGGTCTTCAGTTGGTCAAAGTTGGGCATAACGTGGTTCAAGCTGGTCCAAACGGTTGATCAGTTGATGTCTACCTTGTTAGGCCGAGGTACGCAATAACAACTTTCTTCAGTTCCAATTGACCTATGGCTAAACCACACCCTCAAACATGATGAGCCAATCACAGTGCACAGCTAACACAATACACTTGGACATTCTCTGCTTCAACGTCCATTGAAATGCATTGCATTTAGTCAGTTTTCATTTTTGTTTTTTCTTGTCATTTTAAGTTTAAAATGGTCAATCAGTGTGCATGCAAATTCGACACTAGGTTCCTGAGAGGCTGGGCAACGATGTGTATTTTTTTTACCCTTTCCCAAGCCACATGTCAACAGAGATATGTGTCTGCTCTGGATTAAGTTATGCGATTAAGTTATGCGGTAGACACAACACCAACTAAACGTGGATAAATAAAACAAGTATGTCTACATCTGTTCTAAGTTAAGTCAACAACGTATTTGAACGTTATCTTTAAAATCTCTAACAGAACGTTAGGCTAACGTTAGCCTAACATTAGAAAACGTTGATGTTAGCTTCTAGCTGCGTTGTACATCATGCCACTTAGCTTCATTAACATATCTTTAAATAACCAAGATAACAAATGTTAACAATGTTGTGCTGAATGATTCATTTAAAAACTGTAGCACCAAACGGTGATGGCAACAATATGCGGTTTATCACGTTTACACTGTGACCAGTACACAGTGTACTGTAGTTTTTGCCTGGAGCTGAAGCTTTTCATCGAGCTTCTCAACAAAAAAAAATATTAATATAACCCTCAAATGCATAGTTAAGGCCCTTTAGGTGACTAGGTGAGATGATATATAATCTTTCTGTCTCCAAAAATCACCAATTGCCTCCTGTGAAATGTCTCTTACTGTGACAGCTGCCATAGCGCCTGTCCCCGAATGTTGACTGTTTGTCTGAGTGAGTGGCTTAGCCATAGGTCAATTGGTTTCTTCAGGTAATACATGAGTATTTTGTACTTTTTGTTTGGCGGAGGTGAACTTGGAGTTGGAGATCATCAAATAGGGATACAAGTTTAACTAAATGTTGCCTTCCTCTGGTTTACTATAAATAAATACTGTAGATATAAGGATAAAATGGGCTGGTGAGAAACTGAAGAACGAATCCCTGATGTTGTATGATAGTGCTAAACACTCATTGCTGTGTCCTGAGAGAGAAATTCTAACTGTTCAGCTTATTAACAAGACTAGATGTGACCATTTGTATTCATTATCGTGTCACACTTGAGGTGTCAGAGTCAGTCCAGCCGAGCCGAGCAACAGCCTGCTCTCCGAAACATGTATAACACTCACAGCAAACACACCGTTTTTGCAGAGAAGACAAGATTATGCTCTCCTCCAGATCTATCCATCTAGTGCTCTTGTGCTGTCATGGGAAAGACATTTTCTGAAGGACAGTGAATTCCAATGTTGTTATAACCCCAATGCATTCAAGCTTTAGATGCACAATATGGTTGCGTATAAAAATACATTATTCATCATAAGACCATAATCTCCTATATCACACACAGCTCTGTGTCAACGCATATAATCGGAGAAGATCAGATGTTGAACTGGATAATACAGACACGGGCAAGTCAAATTCAATGAACACACCGGTAACACTTTACAGTAAGGTTCATTAGTTATCATCAGTTAATGTGTTAACAAACATGAACTAAAAATGAGCAAGTTTTTTACAGTAATTATTCATCCTTGATAATGTTTGTTCATAAAAATACAGCTGTTCATTGTTAGTTCATGTTAGTTCACAGTGCATTGACTAATGTTATAAGAATAAGATATTAGTAAATGTTGAAATTAAATTCATAAATGCTGTAGAAGTATTGTTCATTCTTAGTTCATGGTAGTTAACTAATGAACCTTATTGTAAAGTGTTACCAAGACGCCAATCATACCATTTTTCTAATGGATGCAAGTGAGCGGATTTCCACCCTAAAGGTGATGCAACTGATTTCCAATGCAATGGACCAGATCCTGTAGTCATTTCTACGGAGAGAACATCATACAGCGAAGCATGCATGGCTTCTTCTACCCAGCAACACTATCACTGTAGAAAGTAGCAAATTTAGTTTGACCCCTGCGCTGTTGCCTGGGAGACACATCCCAGTTAATAACTCCGCAAGACAGCCAACCAGCGTCAGAAGCGGGATTAAAGAGGGAAGAACTGGGATATGGGAATGATTTGAAAGAGCATCCCAGTATGTGAGTTTATGTCAGGAAGAACTGGGATATTTGAAAGAGCATCAGTCTATGTGAGTGTGTGAGTTTATGCAGGATGACTGCGTTTAGCTTTAGATGAAACGACATACACACACTCAACATCCGAGTTAATAACTCAGCCAACCAGCGTCAGCAGCAGGATTAAAGAGGGAAGAACTGGGATATGGGAATGATTTGAAAGAGCGTCTCTGTATGCGAGTGTGTGAGTTCATGCAGGATGACAGTGTTTAGCTTGAGATGAAACGACACACACTCACCCTCTGTCGGTGAGGTTTTCAGCCTCTGGCACATTCCCTCGACGCCTCCATAGTCCTCCTGTATTTTGACCACCGCCTCGGTTCCTCGGAGCTCCATGAGGGTACGCAGCTCCATGAGAGAGCAGCCAAACCCCGACGCATGGTTGCTGTCGCTTCTTTGGTTCTTGGTGTAAAAATCGCTATTCGTCAAGTCCCCCATGATGGCTGAGTATTGCTTTTCTTAAAAACGGATTGAGATTGAAATGAGACACACGGTCAGAGGAGTCCCATCTGTGGCTGGAGAACAGGTGTCTATAAACAACAACAAAAAAAAAAATGCACGAGAGAATAGAAGGTAAGAGAGAAGAAGGATGAGGAAAAAACAGATCCGGTCCGCTGTCTGCAATTGAAGATCCTCTGCGTTATGCGAACTGGGACGCGACAGCCATCGGAAAGATCCCGGTCCCGAGGACATTCACCAGGGCTGCAGACCGGCGGCTCTCCATACGTGCTTTCCCATTCTACCTGCTTCCAGTCGGATGCTGTCTACATGCTGATCCGCTCCATTACTCCTTCAGAGACCGAGAGAGAGAGAGAGGGGGACAGAAGGGGAGGGAGAGAGAGAGAGAGAGAGAGTGAGTGTTTCTCAGAGGTGTGTGCAGAACAAGCATTGTGTCGTCAATCGCACACAGAGATGGGGGTGTCCATCTATTCCTGTGATTCTCCTCGTCATCACATGCGTTTGATCGCTCTCTCTCTCTGCTCAACACACAGCCGTGTCGATGCTAAAGGGACATGTGAGTGTTTCCGCGGCTCGTGTGATCCGAGCGAGACTGCAGTGCACATTAAAGAGAGAAACACGGGCGATGCATCCCACACTGCAGCAAGGCTCGCTGGAGGGGGTTAGCGATGGGAAAACATTATATAATTCATCCATTCTAATGCATTTGTGCTGCATAGAGCACAATCTGAATACTAGCTAACTATGGACTGATGCGTCCTGGAGGGCAATTCTCACATTTAACTCATGTGGTGTTTGGAAAAGCCACATATAGTGGCGCTTTTCCAGTGTATCAGGACAAAAACCCTTCATCACTGCATGGTGCATCATGTTGTATTGTGCCAATAGCTTTCACTCTTAGAAAAAAGGGTTCTATATTTGAAGAGTTCAGATGCAAAAGCCTCTAAGTGCCATTTGAAATTTTCTTCTAGAATGGTAATTTTTATCAAGCTTGTATATTTAAGTTCAGTGATTTCACTTAAATGGCAATGATAATTACCTATTAATTGTTATTTAAGTGAAATTACTTAACTTAAATATACAAGTTTGATAAAAAAATCATCATTAAAGAAGAAAATTTCAAATGGCATTTAGAGGCTTTTGCATCTGAACTCTTCATATGCAGTGTTGTGCAAGTTACTTCCAAACTGTAATACATTAGGTATTACTTGTTACTGTTATTTAAAAGTAATTCATTACCTTACAATATTACTGTCTCAGAATTGTAATGCGTTACATTACTCATGTATTACTTTTGAGTTACTTTCACCAAAATAACTAAGTAGAACTTAACTTATGGGCTGTAACGATATGCAATATGAAACCGAAATCGCGATTCGCCACACGACTCAGATCCACGAACCTACAGAATCGCGACAAACCTCTTCCAACTCCAGCGTTATTCTCCTTACCGTCCATATCCAATGCTGCCTTATCTTTAAATTAGGCTATTAGTATTATTTGAAGTTAACATTATAAAATACGTAGACCTACACCACAAAACTAGCATAGGATAAATTATTTAAAATTGGGGAAGTCCAGCATTATGGACATGACATTTGCAGTCAAAACTTGAAATAAAAATTCTCAGAAAATACTTGTATTGAAACGTATATAGGCTACTTCCTTAAAGGACTCCAGACATTAGACAAATATCAGTCTATGTTTTATTTTTAATATTAGGGAAAAGACACGCATTCATGCGTGACAAAAAAATAGGAGGCAAAATATATTTTTTGTAATTCTGTTAATTACACTGCGCAAATCGGATGAGGAAGGGTTGGTTCTCCAGTCTCCATAGAACTTAAAATATTCATTTTATTTTAGTTTTCGTGTTCGCATTTATGAGGAAAAAACAATGTTACAGACGCGACCGCTCTGAACTGGCACTAAAAGACTGCTTTAAAACTTTCACATAGTCTGTTGCCTTTTAAGAAGTAAAAGCAGACAATACACTGTAATACAACTGTAATACAAGCCTCACTGAACATGTAACGAGTAAAATATTACTGAAAATTGATTAGTAATGCCTTACACTACTGCGTTACAGCAAAAAGTAATATGTTACTGTAATGTATTACTTTTGTAATGCGTTACTCCCAACACTGTTCATATGTAGCATAGGGTTCTTTACTCAACTCCAAAGGACATTTTATGCTGAAAAAGGTTCAATAATGACAAGAAAGAACCCTTTTGGCACAAAGGTTCTTTAAAGGCTATTATATTCCATTATTCTGCAACATTTTGTAGTTGTTATTACATTATTATAAATATATATTATAAACTGTTGTAGTAAATTAATATCACATTTTGAATTGATTAATTACATTTTTTAACCACCATATCTTGAATTTTGTGATCATTCACATGCATTGCATTTTAGGGGTTCCTTCCAAATACGTAGCGCTTTAGAACCTTTTAAGGTTCTATGTATATAGAACCTTTTCTTCTAAGATCGAGAGCGAGCTCATATTTGCTCTTCTAAATAAATTATTTTAACCCCTTCTTTCTTTGAAGCAAAATGAAGTTTAGTTTCCAGTCACCCATAACTGACATATGTTTGTGCCACATAAATGCTCTAAATGCGGAATTAAATAGTTTAATTTAATAAACGTACTGTCCCCTTTAGTAGCTTCTATGTAGTGAGCTTCTTTTGGTTAGTACTATAAGTCATTTTTCAAAAAAAACATATTTTTGCACAGTTTTAGACTGCGTCAAAGCGTGTAGTTTCTAGTAAATATAGTTTATACATAGGGATTGACATTAACTCTAGTTTAAGTTTTCTAAAGTTACTAGCCACAATTTTCACATTGATACCATAGGGAAAAATGTCAGAAGGGGAAAAACTATCAGACTATTAGGCTGCTGTCACTTTAAGACCTAATGCACGGATCCATTACACTATTACACATGCATTTTCTGATTTCGGAAGATTTACCTTTCACTGTGAAGATCTAAACATATTTAGAAATACAGGAAATCGCAATGGAAGACAATTTTGATATATCTAAATATGTTAAGTGAAAGGTGAAACTTCCGAAATCTCTGTGTAAACAATGAGTGACGTACACGCGAGAGAGATCACTTCCGGCGCATGCGCAGACCGAAGCGCCCGTGCCGTCAGATCAGTTGGACATGGCTGTGATTACACGAGGTAAAAACGATATAAATACTGTTCGTTTTCTCACACAAACCGCTCGTTTCGTGTCTTAGGCCATCAATGTGTACTTACATTTACGAGTCATTCAATCATGTTTAATTTTGACTTCTCTGTGCAAGCTCTTTGAGGTGAACCCAGGGTGGACCCCCTAAACCTCCATTATATGACTGACAGACAACAACGCTTTGACCGAAAAATATCAAAATTGAAAATACTGTGGAAACAAAAAGACACCTACATCTTGGATTCCCTTGAGGTAAGCTAAAACATATCAAAAATTAATTTCAAAGTGAACTATCCCTTTAATGAATTGAATCAAAATGAAGTTCAGTTTCCTGTCACCCATAACTGACGTATTTTTGTGCCATAGAAATGCTCTAATTGCAATTGTGTTGTGTTTAACACACCAAAGAGTGATTATCAGATCATCAAGGCCTCGTCCTGCTCGCCACAACCCTGATTTAGGGTTTTATTTATTTATAATAAACAAAAAATTAAATCGATTTTATTAACCGATTAATCGAAAAACAATCGTCTGATTAGTCGATTATCAAAATAATCGTTAGTTGCAGCCCTACAACTGTTCACGAACACTTTTAACTTAACTGACAGTGTTTATTTCAAAACATGCCAGGACCAGCATTTTTTGTCATTATTTAGTGAGTATTTGACTGTTTAAGCACAATAAGCAGTGAAAAAGAACTAAATTTTGGCTTTATGTGCCAATGAGTGGGAATGGGAAAATCTGTGGGAATGAGTAAAAGGATATATGTGCAATCCCATGGTGAAATTCAAGACCTGTAACAACAATATTCATCCAGAGCAAAAGAAGGGAGTGAGTGAGGAGAGGCGGGTTTGTGTATCACTCACTGTCGGAGAGATGAGAGAGAGAAAGAGACGCTGGTATTCTGTATCTATTCTTCGAGAAATAAGTATTGGAAGTGGTGCAGATATTTTCATTTAACCAGGCAAAGTAGCGAGGAGGAGTTACTGCGTTACACGGCTGAAACACACATGCATTTGTTGGCAGGGGTTAATGTCAAGCCCTGTTTATATGTGATCAATAAGTTATGACAACGTGTTTTTACATTGCTTTAACTCAAAGTAAGTTAAGCAAATTCCTTTTTTTACAAGATTCTACTCATTTTTAAATCAGTTTAAGTTGAAATGACTTAAACATCCGAGTTGATTGTACTTAAAAATTGAAGGCAGCTATTTTGACAGCCTGACCCAACCACAATGAATCAGCAGACGTGCGATTATTGACGGAATCTGAAAGACTAAACAGCCGGTACAGATAATCAATGGCATTTCTAAAGAGAAACATTTGCATATTTTCTCAGAGAACATCTTTGTTAGGAACAAAATAACATGTTGTCAAAACAGTCAGTATTTCCAGGCTCCGGGTATAAATGGCTCGTGAAACAGCACGACACCTCATGTATTAGTGAAGCCTGGCCATGCTGACGAATGTGGTGGATCTGTCAGAATCAATCTCTACAAGGACAATATGTTTCTTGGTGAAATGATGAAAGGAACGAGTGGCTCCTGTAAGGCTCGGTCCTGCTTCCCATGAGCCTTCAGGAATAATCATTATCCAGTCCAGTCCCAACATAACTTAACTTAGTGCTTAAGTCCTCCAGAAGTTACACAGGTTATAATACATGTGCATCTGACAGATCCTCTCACATCAGCACTGCGAAACTCAACGCTGCATAAAGCCTAGTTCACACTACGTGATTTTAAGCCCGATTTAAGCCCGATTTGCAAATCGTTGAGTCGCCGACAAGTCAGGGTGTTATCGCGTGCAAATCGCGGGCGATTAGCGGACGATTAACGCTCGCCAATCCGTTAGTGTGAAAGAGCCAACAACGCACCAAAGACAGCTCGCAGACAGGTCACCGAGCTCAGAAAAATATCTAGCATGCTAGATATCTCGAGCAGTCGCGCGACTCAATCTCAGTGATGTCATGAGTACAGCCAATCATAGCAACGCATGGGTTGAGGACACCAGGTAAATCTTACTTTTTCTTTTCTTTTTTGCATTTTTTTTTCTCAGAGCAGATCGTCGAGCAAACAGTGTGCAGCACTAGTTTCTGTCTGACGTCCATATTCGCGTGTTGTGTGCTTCTCTGCAGTTTCGCGTCATTTTTGGTTCGTTTTATTGCGTGGTTTTTCGTGACAAAACATGGTTTCTAGACCAGATAGAATCGTGTTGTTGTCAACTCGTTATTTGTTTGATTATTTTCAGGATTTAGACCGTACTATAGTACTGAAACAGCTCTCATTGAGTCACAAATGATATGCTCTTATCATCCGATCGTGGTTGTATCTCTATGTAGTGCGTTGTTAACTCGTGTAGTGAGTTACC